TGACAACATCATCTTGGCTGGTCTGACTGGATGCTGGAAGCTCAGCTTGCAAACGTTCGACCTGAGCTTGCAGCGCTGCCTTCAAAGTGATGTCATATCATCCGAGCGGCCGCCTCTAGGGTTCCGAGCTGTGACGACGGTGCTGCAGTTGTTCCTCTTCTCTGACTCGGCACAGCTGACTGGCTAACGCTGGATAGCGCTAGAACATTGTCACCAGACTGCGTGCTACTCTTCTTCTTGGACGTGCCATCGTGGTGAAGCTGGAACCGCTGACTACACGTACAATACTGCTTCCTCTGAACTAGCAAGTCATTCCACTCGCATGTCTCACAGCTCGGGCACTTGGTCCACAACCACTGCCATTTACCAGAAACTGTACCGCCCTTGCCTTTTTCCGCCCATGAAAGAGAAATCGAAAGTCCCGTTTGGCCACCGCGCGGGCAACACAGCGCACGCGCCCCTCAAGCACCTCGAGGCCTCGAGGAAGGTAGGGACGGGCCAAGAACCCTGCCCTGCGTGTGGGGACGCAGGGACTTGGTGCTCGTGCCCACACGGCTCGAGGAGAGGAGGAGGAGGAGGAGGAGGAGGAGGAGGAGAAGGAGAAGGAGGAAGAATAGGAGGAGGAGGGGGGCTTCGCCAGCCACGGCTGGAGCCGCGAGGGTTCTCACGGGGAGCGCCCGAGGAGGCTCGCCGTCCGATCGAGCCCAGCGCGTCTTGCGTGGCCAACCCCCCCAGATGGGGATATAGGTCGTTCCCTTCGGGCTTCGAGGGGTGTATCCCCAACTGGGGTGGTAATTTGGTGGGGGTCTCGAAAGGGATGGGGATGGGGATGGGGATCGGTTGAACGATACTGAGAAACGGGTACAGTAGGAGCTCGACCAGAAGAAACCTTCCACAAGAAACCCAATCCTGAGACCCCAGGATGTACATTGATGTTTGGTGTGGGAACGTCACGCTTTCCATCGCAAAATCATCGACACCCAATGCAACCTGGAGGCATGCAGGATGTTTCTTGGCATGGGCTTCCACTGTACGGAAAAAATCGGCACGATGCCCAACAGCAGCTGCTGTACAAAACGGACGGCGGCCGCTGTAGGGCAGGCGGCCTTCTACGTCAAATGGACCAAGCCCGCGGCGGCACCGACACCGAGCCCTGCTCAAAACGAGCAGGAACTGCAGTCGGCCGTTGTAACCTTTGTTCCCGTACGGTCGGGCCTCGGACAGAATAGCGTGCCTCAAGAATATGAGACCCTCCGCCGGCCCAAACACCCCAAACCTCAGATCACTCGAGGGTACGCCCCGAGGATGCACAGGAACATCCAGCACACACAGACACACAGATACACAAACACACACACACACACACACACACATAGACACACAGACACACAACACACACACACACGCACACACGCACACACACGCACGCACACACACACACACAAAAAAAAAAAAACATCAGGGTACCCTCCCCGAACCGACCTCGATCCTATACCTCGGTCAGACCGTGCCCCGTTCGATCGCCCCGAGCTGACGTCTCTCTGGGGGCGCATCTTCTGCTGTCGCCGCCCTCCCGCGGGCCCTCCGCGGGCGGGCACGGCGCCGATCCGCCTTCTCGCCGGCCTGCCCGCCGAGGGAGAGGCTGCGGCGAAGACGAGGCCCCCGCCGGGAACGCCCCGTGCGGAGGCGAGGCGGGCGGAAGGCCGAGGGCACAAGTTGTTCTCACCATCTCGGGCCTGCTCTGCAGTCAGAGCGTGCAGTAGAAGGACGGGTGGCAAGGACGCGAGGACCCCCGGTGGCCGAAGTTGGGATGCTTTGGGGCGGCGGGCGGCCAGCGAAAACGGCCAAGGACGGGCCGCAGAGGCGAGGACACAAAGGGCACCCTAGATGAAGGCGCGCGCCCTGGACCTACAGTCAACGCGTCCTCACTGGGCGCGTGTGACTGTAGGTCCAGGGGATGTGTGGCCAGGGCATCTGGCCCTCGCCCTTCCAGGCCTGCCGCCGGGCCTGGGGGGCGCGGCAGGATCGTCAGTCAGGGGCGTCCACGAAGGGGGGCGTCCAACAGGGGGGGTCGCAGGTCATGGCCGGAGACACGTGCGCGGACGAGGGGGGTGGCCAGGGGACACACTGAAACAACAGGGCACCATGAAATCTGCGGGGAGATCATGGCCCCCGCCAGGATATCCCTCCCCCGCCCCAGAATCACACTCCCACCATCCCAGGCCTCCCGGGTCCAGAGCGCGACAAGGGCAAACAGTCATCGTGCTACCATAAGAAGCGCAAACTCAGGAACGAAAGGGTTTTTCTGGCCACGCCGGGCCTAGGCCACAAACAGGTCCCATGACCTAGATCCAGGGAGCGGCCCGAAAACCCGAACCCCACCCGAGCCCACGGTTCCAGCCTTCCCTGCTCCAGGGGGACGGGAAGGGGGTCGCCGCTGGGGCGGGCGTCCCCGCGCATGCGCCGAAGGGCAGGACGCGGTGTCCCGAGCGGCAGCGCC